CCCCCCCCCAAACCTGAAATTCCAAAAAAATGAAAATTCCTTTTCAGGCCCTCATAGAAAAGCACCGTGTCATTTCTTATCCGGAAGTCCCTAGCCTCGGGATCTAGAAGAAGCCTCATGGCCACTCGGACTATACCGTGCCTCCTGCGCCTTGACATGCGTAGCCCAGGAACGACTGCGGTTGCTTCCTGGAGAAAGCTGATTGCCCGCCCGTAGCGCCTGTTCTGATCGGCTCGGGGACTCCCCGCTCATGGGTCTACGAGTCCTGGTCTCTTGCCCAACCCTCTGACGACTTCTGGACCACTCTTCGGTATACTTTGGCTCAACCTTGTACCCCATCCATGCGTGCACTTCTCCACTTGACCCTCCCCCTGCGGGCCTTGGTTTTTTCACGACGTTTCCGATGTCGATCCCAACCCCGGCAAGCCCATAAGCGATTGTTTTATACATGGTCGGATCATCTTGCCGCCCTGCCAAATTAAAACTTAACCCAAGCTGTCGGGCTCAACGAGAACGAGACCGGGACACGTCCCCTCCTCCTCCCCATTCGAAATATTTCGTCTTCGCCTGCACGATCTCAAGACTTACGTCGGGACCTAATAACTTCGCTTACCCGACTCGCTCATATTGGACCAATATCGACCCGCCGTGGGACAGGAGATAGAGGATTGCCAAATTTGGTGGCCAACTCGCATATTAAATCCACTCAGTACTAGCTCCCCACCAGATCGTGTGCCCTAGACTGGGCAGCGATCTTTACCTCCCATGTCGATTGGAAAAAGCCAAGTGTCTAACACATGTTATATAGCTTCCTTTCAATAATTTTGCCTGCAATCTGTTCAAAATTTGTGGATTGAAGTCCGTCCACGTCATCTTTTTACCCAGAATAGGGCTCACCTTCAAATCCCATCCGCCTGGATCGTTCCCACTGGACAAACGTCCGAGGTGACCAAGGATGGGTACCAAATCATCCGTAAGTCTTTAGTCTATGTCTTCTTTTGAGACAAATCTACCCGTCCTCCATTATAAGACGGTGGTGGCGGTGATAAATTGGAATCTTGCAAATTTCACCCTCCAATGCCTGCCACCACTCTGGCTCCTCAAAGCGTTTCTGACATGGCCTCTATGCAGGAACCAAAAAGCGAATGGTAATACTCCTTGTCAACATCCACTTTTTCTAGTCTTTCCTCACCACAGGTTTGAATCTCATGCTAATAATGTGGTAATAGTGAAACGCAATCGCTTACTGAAAGTGTAACGGACTATCCCATGGAAAATGGCAGACGGTATCACAAGTACCATGAAGGAGGTATGTTGTCATTCATATCCAAACTTACTGTGAATATCCGCCTGACCTTATTAGCCTACCCATACCCCAATGATGAAAAAGAGCTTGATCGTCTCGACCTGCAACATCACATGTTTAAACTTGTCATGGGCGGCAAACTATACCATGTTCCGCTAAAAAACCCCAAACAAATACTCGACATCGGCACTGGATCTGGTATTTGGCCTCTAGAAATGGGTACGTTTGGTCTTCTCCATGCATCAATATCCCGTGCCACGTTTATCAACTCATTCCTTCTCTTTTCTCGGATTCTGCAGCACCATTGTTCCCAAACGCTGCAATCACAGGCACAGACCTCTCTCCGGTACAGCCAATCGAAGTTCCAGAAAATATTCACTTCTTAGTCGATGATGCAACCGAAGAGGAATGGCTATGGGATGCAGATCACTTTGACTTCATTCACGTCGGACATATGACGGGTGCCATGAAGTCTTTCAAAAACCTATTACGAAAGGCATTCACACACCTAAAACCGGGATCATATCTTGAATGCCACGAGATGGACCCCAAGCCAAAATGCGACGACGGTACCATGCCACCCGAAAATCCGGACGGCTACAGCGCCTTTGCTCTTCATGACTGGTTTGACCTACACATGAAGGCTAGCCAGGAAGTTGAGCCCTTACGCCAATTCCGAATAGCACCTCGGATTGAACGATGGATGAAGGAGGTTGGATTTGTTGATGTCGAACAGCGAGTTTTCAAAGTGCCGATGAACCCGTGGCCGGCCGATAAGAAAATGAAGGATATTGGGTCATGGAGTGAAAGCAACTGGCTAGAAGCTCTGGCCGGTTGGTCTTATAAACCTTTTCTCGGACTGGGTTGGTCGAAAAATGAGATTGAGGTGTTCCTCGTCGATGTGAGGAAAAGCATTCAAGATCGGAATGTGCACGCTTACATGGATTTCTTCGTGGTGACCGGCCGGAAACCGCTGGATGATACAAAGACGTTATGAGTTAAACGCCACTTTGATTCCACTTTTCTGATGCTGGGCTTCTTCACCCAAAACATTGCTCCTATACCTTTTGATTATGTCTTGGCTGGGATGAATCGCACGAGATACCATTGGCCGGAGAAGAACATATGCATGCATTATATTGGCGTATGGCTACAATTAATTGCATAAGTCTTGGATTTTGAATATTATCGTTCTGTTCCCAAATTCTGATCGTCTTTGAACCCATAGTTTTGATATAAATTCTTGACTGCGAATGGAGACTGGTCCTCATGTGAGAGGTACGGGCAGCCACTTATATGAGATGATTCATTGAAGGAGAAGTCTCCTTGGCACTTTATGGAACTAGAGTGGAAAATCATTAGATTTACATTCATCCTTCTGTTTCGGAGCACATGTGAACGTAAGGGACCTTGCCATAGTAAATGGTAGCTGCCATATGATCACGTGATACCAAGGTTCGGGGAGACTGCCAAAAGCCATCGAAGGTCTCCAGCACCCCGAGTTTGGCACAATTTATCGCGATCAATTGGCTCGCGCATGCCACACATAGACTCATGTCTTTCGGTAGGCATGCCTACCGGCATACACTAAAATCCACTGCCACTCCAACCCTCGACCACCTCTGGATCAGTGACGACCTACTCGCAGCAACCTTCCGCCGGTTTGCGAACGGCCAGCGTCGCCATGGCAGCTGCGTCCCTGGGCCTCTGGAGGCACGAAGACGCTTAGCCAAGCGAAGAAACACAGCCCTTGCTGGATTTGGAGCTGGATCAGCCGAGGATATTGCGTGTCTTTTCGGTCGCAATGGGAGGGAGCACATGAAGTGGACCGACCACCCGTGGCATAGAGCGCCGCTTGAAAGTCAAGGTATGTCAAGCAGGATTCTATTTCCAATTCGATCGGATGCTAAACATTTGGAAGATCTGAGAAGCTACTCAGTGGCGACGCCGGAGGCTTCCTTGCCCTTTTATGACCAGAACCCCGAACCAGTCGACACCTCCATCCTCCATGGCCCTCAACCCAACTCTCATAAGCCAGCCGCCGCTTCCCAAGCCGAGCTCCTGGATGAATTCTTGAAGCAGAGTAACTGGGGACTTGAAGATGCAAGGGACTACGCACGTCAATTGAGGATTGATCTTCAACGAGAACCCAAATACAGCCGGCAGATCTTCGATGCACTGCTCTCGCGCTCGACTACAGACCTGCAGCAAGCAATTCAATTCCTGGACGATCCGTTCTTGAACACACGAGGCTCTGGGAATTATTTTGCTGCTGTGAGCTTGTTTGTACAAGCGAAGCTCAAGCGATCAAACCGGATCGCCCTGCTGAATTCAGTCTGCCGTGCCCTCGAACTGGGGCTTGTCCCGACAGACGAGCTTTGTCTGATTGTCAAAGCTCTACCGGATATCATCGTCGAGCGAAACCAGACGCTAAGCGAGTGGGACCAGAGGGCACTTTTGAAGCATTACCGGGCCATGTGGAAAGCTATCGGTCGCTGCACCATTCTTGGTTATCATGATTTGGACAAAGGGCTTGTTGACGCGTGGCTTACTGAGCTTGTGGATCTGCGCAGCTTTCGCTTTGCTGAGGAGTTCGTACTGGCCACCCATGACGCGAGCTCTGACAGTCGTTGGCCCGCGACCTTGATCATGGAGCAATTGGATGAGGTCGAGACAACGACGTCCCTGCCGACTTTCTACCAGATGCTGTGTGAACTCGATGCGGACTGTGCAGCCAGGTGTATTGTCGAAGTCACCGAGTTATTGGCGATGCCTGACGAACAAATCCAAGGTCAAAGCCAATTGCTAGAACGATGGCGACATTGCCTATCAAATCTGTCGAATGTTTCTGCTCTTGCAAACTCGCAGGCATGGCTTAACTTGCCATTTGCATACAACGACAACGCCTTGGAGATAGCGCAGAATCCTTCTATTCAACCCGTCCAGCAACAAATTATCCTTCGCCTATGGGCGTTGCGAACGTTGAGTCGGTCTTTCGGGCCAATGTACCACAACAGTCCCCGGCCTACCGATAGACCGATTTACTTCTTGTTCGGAATCTATGAAACGTCGACTAAGACAACAGATGGGTCCTTCCTGTCGGACTTGATGCGTGGTATTCAAACCTTGAACCTCCCGTCTAGTAATCTGCTTCTGCTTGCGGTGAATATCAAAATGAAGAAAAGCATCAGCAAGAATGCCCGCAGGACACTTGAGAAATTGGAGACATCGCAGCTTTCTTTGACAGATGTCTGGGCGGATCCATCGTCTTACCATGGCATTCGTGATTTGTTTCATGGCACATTCGAGCAAATGTTCCGCCGTCTTGACATCACGAGCCCAGAATCTGCAGACGAATTCTTACGTCTTGTCAGAGTAGGAGATTCAAAGAGCATCTGGTCCGTTCTAAGGATTCTCCGTAACCACACCCCCTTCAAGCTTTGCCTCAACAAGGCATGGGTGCCCCTCCCCCACCCTGACGAAATGGCCCTTGTGCGCTATCACCACGGGCCTCGGGACAGTCAAAGTCCCGATCCTTACGCTGCAGCTGACTTTGTCCATCGACTGGCCGTTGCCATCTCTTGCAGTCACAACTTGACTCCCTCGCGTTCTTTCCACCTGATTCACCATTTGTATGACTACATGCGCCGACATGGTGGCCCTGTATACCCGTCCCTGGTTCAGGCCATGTACCATGCTGGTGTTGTGCGATATCGTCGCGAGGGTCGTCGCGTTTCGCCTACGCAGTACGAATACATCCTCTGGATTGTTAGCAAGTTTGAAGGACGCGAGGTTGCCAGGCAATTGAGCGCCCCGGCGCAGATTGGCCTGAGCAAACCTGATCAAGGGGATGACTACTAGCTTGCATAGTCGCAGCTCTTTATCGAGGAGGCGGAAGAGCGATGTACTATAGAGATACCCATTCCATGTATACCCGCCAAGGGACGTGGAAAAATGTAGATACGTATGAAATGCCATTGCTGATCATTTCTATGATTATTTCAATACTTCCTGTCATCTCTGAACTCCCCTGAATGGTATAAATGCCCATTTAAGATAAAATGGTACTGACTCCGCATAATGGTGAGACATAATCCAAGTGTATATTAAATCATCTTAGAAAAATACCAATAGCCTGCACCTCATTCCTATTCCCGATCTGGACAGTATCTAAACATCAACCTCCATCTTCTCTCCAGCCACGAGGTTGTCATCTCCCGACAAGGTCTCGATGGTGACATATTTTTTCATATCCTCTTTGCTGATGACCTTTTGATTCAACCAAGCAGTCGTGCCACGAGGGAAGCGGTAGTTGCGCTCCTTCTGTCCGCGCTCGTTGGGCTTCTCGTAGTTGCGGAGCAACTGGGTCGGCTTGTCCTTCTCGATAACGCACACGTCGACATTGCTACCGGAACCGAGATCGTTGAAGATACCGGCCTTGATGGCTTCGGAGCACAGAGCAATGGCACCTTCCTTGTTCAGGTCTGGCTGCCACATCGACTCGAACACCGACATAGCCGCCAGGGAGCCGGATCCCATCGTCACGTATGGCAGCTTGTCCGTCGAACCGTGCGCGTGCACGGTGTATAGCCCGACGCCGGTCGGGTCCACGCCTGCAACCACGAGGTACGCTCCAATGTGTCCCTGGTATCGGAAGAGGTGCTGCTTGAGCATGGTCATGCATGTGATAACGCGAGGGTCGCGGCCGGTGGATAGGGAGTGCAGTTCAACGTTGGAACTGATCAAAGCGGTGGTGAACTCAGTGTCTGCGGCAGTACCGGCGCCGGCACACCAGATCTTGGGTGCGATGTAGTGAAGCTTCTCGCAGTTCTATTTCCAGATATCTGTCAGCTTCTAATATGGGGTTTCCAGAGATGTGTCATCTTGTTTCAGGTTTCCAAGGATCGATCGCACCTTGTCTGCTACTATAGGGCCGCTGGTGGCTCTGGTATCTGCCGCGATCTTCAATCACCAACAAAGTTAGCCTTCATTGACTGCACGACATTCGAAGCTTTCGAGTCATTTGGAACCTTACCACAACACCATTATCGTAAATGCAACCAACAATTGTCGTACCGGTGCTGGTAGCTTTGGGGAGGGGAACGCCCCTGGCGTGAAGAGCCGCGTTGCGGTTGTAGTTGGAGAAGTCAAAGCCCGGCATCGTGACGACGCAGAACGACCGAAGGAGATAGTAACAATCGAAAGGGGAAAGAGGATCAGGTCAGACGGATGTCGTTCGTCAGAAAAGATTCAGGAAGGTGGTTGAGGGGAGGAGCAAGGTGATGGTAGAGGTGAAGTCAGAGCGCCGAGCTGTCTGGAGTGACGAAGCTACCGCAGCCTGCTGTTTTCGAGCCTAGAATTTCAGGCATTAAATATTGTAGCTCCCCAACTCGCAACTCGATGTTTTTACCTTGAGCCTTTCCGTTTACTTAAACCTCACATCTACGTCTTCTCAAACTTTCACCTTTACACCTCACGAGATCTCCTTTTTCGCACAATTATCTTCTTCTCTCTTCCCAGAGAGCTTGCCTCAAGATTTTTGCGCGCACGTTGACCTTATTCAACCGGAGTCCTCAGCCACTCCAACGTCGCTCTTTCTCTTCAACTCCACCAACCTCCCCTCTTCTCAATGCGCCCAAGCCACACTCCCCTTTAAGTGGTCATTCACGTTCGGTTTCCGCAGACCTTGGCCGTCTCAAAATGGCTTTCAACTTCGGATCTTCCGCCGGCCCTGCCGAAGCAGGCGCGCCGAAAGACCTCTTGGATGTTTTCACCGACGTATGTCGCCTTACCACAGCTTTCGCGTCCTTTTGACAGTCTCACCTTCTAACACTCATGACAGGATGTCGGTTTCAAAGGCATCTCTGGTGATGCCAACATCCGCCTACTCCCCACCCCTTGGCCTCAAGACGCCCTCCCGGCCCCAAACACATCTCTTTTGGCTGTCGCGCAGACGAAAGCTCTCGTTGTTGGCGCGGGCCCGGATTGCCTGGTTGTCGCCACCACCGAGTCGATCAGAAAAGCCATCGAGGCTCCTACCGGTGAAGACAAAGTGAAAACGAAGCCCTTCCAACCACATGCGACAATCCCGCTTCCAGCCCGCCCAACTCATGTTGCGTTCACTGCGAGCGACGATGCGTTGATCATCGCGACAGAGAACGGGTCTCAAATTACGGTTTTCCAGACGGAGACTTTGTTACAGGGTAACGCGCAACCGGCTTTATCGGTGCCAACAAATGGCGTATCGATACGATCACTTGCGCCAAACCCAGATCCCACTTCGACCTTTGTTGCCTTAGTCACCACTAATGGTGAACTCCTCGTCGCAGACCTGAAGGCTGGAAATTTAATCTCGGGTGCTAATGGGCCTATCCTTCGGAATGGTGTGAGCTGCGTTGCATGGAGTAACAAGGGAAAACAGCTTGTGGCTGGTATGGCGGACGGAACGGCGGACCAGATGACTCCAGACGGGACAAATAAGGATCAAATCCCTCGCCCGTCTGATTTGGAGGGGGAGTGCCATGGTAAGTTATCACGTTTGCCTGTCGTGTTTGTTATTTCAACACTCACACTGTTATAGTCTCGTCGATCGGATGGCTGGAGAACGATGTCTTTCTCACGGTCTATACCCCGAATGCCCCAGAAGACGACATGGGGATTCCACAATCATTTTTCTACATAATCACACGACGAAAGCAGGCTCCATTTTTGATCCAGAAGTTGCCAGACCTCTGTTCCACTCTCGGATTCATGATAAAACGAGCGCCAGCATACCAGTTCATCGTCCGACTGCGCGACTATAAGCCTCATTTGAAGGATGTGTTGATGGTCGCATCAACCGCCTCCTCGGATGTCGGGCTCATCGTTCGATCTGATAAAGAGCTAGGTGAAATTCCTGCCGGCCAATTTGCGGTAGCCAGTGTCAGCGATGACATTAAGAGGGCATCGGTTCCGTTAGCGGACACTGGCGATGACACATCGGTGATTGGCTTGGCTGCTGACTTGTCTAGCCGAGAGAATGTCCTCTCGCCCATCCCGGGAGAGGATATTCAAGAGACCTCGTCACCTCTACCAGCCCTATTGCTCTTGAACAATGAAGGCATCCTTTCGTCCTGGTGGTTCATCTACACGGAGTCTATTCGCCAGAACATCCCATACTCTGGCCTTGTGTCAGCCAGCCAACCGTCAGTCACAGCCTCCCAACCTCCGGCTGCACCTTCACAGCCGACTGCTGCTCCCGCTCAGCAGCAGCCCGCGTTTGGTCAGCCCTCATTTGGCACACCGTCACCATTTGGCTCTTCTGGGTTTGGGAAGCCCTCGGGGGGTGCTACATTTGGAAGCCCCTCCACAATGGGAGCAACAGCCTTCGGAAAGCCATCCGCTCCATCATTTGGAAGCCCATCAGGCCTTGGTGGTAATGCGGCGCCGGCATTTGGAAAACCTTCATTTGGCTCTGGAACTGCGTTTGGCCAGACCAGCTCTCCAGGACAGCAAGCACAGTTTGGCAAGTCAGGCTTCGGCGCGGCCAGTACGCCTTCGCCATTCGGACAGCCTAGCACCCCAGGCAAGAGTCTTCTAGGTTCTGGAACCGCTACAAGTGGTGGTGGATTTAGCTCTTTCTCAGGAGGGGCAGGAGGAGGCGGGTTTGCCGGATTCGCGGCTGCAAAGCCAGGAGAGTCCCCTTTCGCAAAGGCATCAGGTGATAACGCATTCTCAAAGGCATCTCCCTCGCCCTTCGGAGCTAAGCCCTCAAGTGACACGGCTTTCCCACCGGCACCGACGGAGGAGGTGAAGAATCCTTTCGGATCTAGAACTACTGGTGGTTTCGTTCTTGGTTCCTCTTTCAAGGCTGATGGTACGGCCGCAACTGACTTGCCTAAATCAGAGAAACCTTCGTCTGGTGCGCTCTCTTTTGGCGGATTTGGCGAGTCGATCTCTATTTCGAACAAACCAAGCACTCCTGCCGAGTCTATGGACGACACGGAGGACACCACTACTGCGGCCGAGCCAGCCAAGATCGAGCCTGTTTCTCTCTTCGGACGGCCAAGCAAACCCACAGCCCCGGCTCCATCGCTGTTTGGCACACAGACAACGCAACCTATCAAGTCGCCTCCGCCTCTTGAGACAAACAAATCGAGCTCGGGTTTCTCCATCTTTGGTACCGCTTCTGCTACCACTCCCCAGTCTCCCTTTCAAACGTCATCCCAGACACAGGCCACTAGCCCACTATCCGCGCCTTCAGACGTAACGGCTACCCCGATGAGGGAACCCTCCGTGACCACCCCTACGCTTACCTCTCTCGAGGCACCGTTGCCTCCTGACCCCACTAGCAGGGCCAGTTATGCCCCAGGAGACACGTCAGCTTCGTCCAACGTCTCCAAAAGCTCTGTTGAGGATGCCCCTCTTCCCCCGGATTTCGTCCCTGAGAAGAAGCCCTCTTCCTTCTTCGGCGATGCACCTCTGCCACCCGACTTTGTTACTCAGAAGAAGGCTGTACCAGAGGTGGAGGATGCACCACTGCCTCCAGATTTCGTGACGAAACCCATTAAAACAGAGAGTTCCCCACCGGAAGTTCCGGACGAGGTCCCCGAAGAGGCGCCATTGCCCCCCGACCCGGTTGCTTCTAAGGCTGAAGCCACGCCAGCAGAAGAGGCTGTCCCTGTTCCTGATGGCTCAGATGCGGAGTCCCAGGATGCGGACGAGTCTGACTTCAGTGATAGCGGCGAGGAGATTACGCATGATGAGACGAAGATTGCCAGTCCCAAGCTGTCGGCTGGAACCTCCTTTGGCGGTCTATCCGATAAGAGCTCTACTGGTGGATTCTTTAGTGGGTTCTCGAAGGCTGCGCCCAAGGAGGAACCGAGCCATCGTCCGCGACACCTGTTTGGGGAAATTTCCAAGCAGCCCATCCTTCCGCCTCCATGCCGTGAGCCCTTCCGCTCACCTAGCCCCACCCGCATCGGCACGCATAAGAGTACACTGTTCTCCCGGAAACCCGAGACCCGACAAGCCGGCAGTGCTTTGGCTTCTAGGAAGGCTTCGTTGAGTCAGATTGTTCAGCGCGAGGGTCAGCACAGGAAACCCAGTGACGCTGCTCGCCAGGAGCGGGCTCGCGCCGAGGCCGCCTCCCTGCGTCGGGCAGAGGAAGATGTTCTTGCTCTTTCTGATGACGACGAAGACGAGAGGCTCCGTGCTGATCTTGCTCGCCCAGTCGAGCCCATCGCTACGCTTGATCCGTTCCTCCCCCACCAGAACTACACTGGTGATACGGTTAAGCCAGGTATTCCAGGAATGATTGAGCGACTCTATCGTGACATTAACTCTATGGTCGATACACTGGGCATCAATGCTCGGTCGCTGGAATCGTTCCTGCTTTTCCAACAGCCGGCCGAAAGTTCCGACGCGGACAAGTGGGTCGAAATCTTGCGGAGTGACAACCCTGCAAATGTCCTAGATGAGGAGACATTCCTTCAGGATATCAGTAACTTCGAGGACGTGGTTGCGGCAATGTCCCGGTCCCTTGATGAACAGCGTCTTCAAGGCGTGGAGGAGAAGTTGGACGCGTCCCGAGAGCTGCTCACAAAGGACATCGTGACGCTGCGCGGTCAATTTGCCAGCATCCGCAAGACTCTCGACGCACTGACTGACACTGGTGTGATTCTCTCGGCCCCACTTTCTGCTGAACAAGCTGCTCTTCAGCACGATCTCCGGACCGCGTTTACAAATCTGCAAGCTAAGATGGCGGAACTTGAGCAAGGCGTTTCAATGCTGCGTGCCAAGATGGCTGACATTCCACGCCCCGATGGAGCTGGCAGCGGCTCTCGGAAGCGACCTACCGTGGAAGCCGTCTCTTCAACCATTGCCACTATGATGAGCATGGCCGAGAACAAAAGCAGCGACATTGACGTTCTTGAGGCTCAACTAAAGAAGCTTGGTGTCGACACCTCGTCGTCTCGTCCCGTCAGCCGCGAAGGGTCCCCGTTCACCACTCCCCGCAAGAACGTTGCTCGTTTCCCTGCTACACCGGGCTCGCGTGGCTCTATTGACGGCAGCGCTTACCACACCCCCGAGTCTGCTTCTCGCGGTCTGAATTTCCGGGCTAGTATCAACGGCTCCGCGAAGCATAGCCGCCTGCGAAGTGTCGATATCGCCGGGCCCGTTGCCGTTCGCGAAGGAAGCACCACGCAGTGGAAGGCGAAGGCTCAACGCCGGAAGCACTTGGTTGGCAGTTTGAAGGAAGCGATCGAAAAGAAGGAGAAAAAGGTTCGAGGCATTGATGACTTTTAAAAATTTGAGCTATTTGGACTACTTTGTTCCTTATTGGTGACCATCGGCTGATGGATCCCTCTTTTTGGCTTGCTGTAACATGGCATACGGACATTGCTTTTCATTTGATAATTTTATTTCATGTCCCAGGCGTGGTTTTTTACATTGGACTGGAGGGCTACAAAGATTGGATGCCCATGCGAATGTACATAAATGCTGTGCTTCAGTTTTTGCTTTCTGGAGTTTAATCAAAAGCCGGACACTGACATCATTTCATTTCGTGGTGTGACATCAGTCCTCTGACCCTCGACTCAATCCGATGAGGTTGTTTTTTAAGCCTCGTAGAACAAACTCTCCTTGTTCACCTGCCCCGCTTTCCCTCCCGCATCAATATCCGCCATGGCCCAAATCAGCAGTGAGTTTGTCTTCTTCAAGGTTAAGAGCGATGTCAAACCGGAGGATCCTACCAGCGGGTTGGGCGAGGGCCTGATGAAGGTATTCTGCGCCACTCAACAGCAAAGTGGCCACTATAGCTCGGCATGGGGTCGTACAGTGGAGGATCCGAATATGTTAGTATGGGTGATCGGTTCGTTTTTCATCGTTCTACTGTTCTTTTATGTTTGACATACTGTTACTAAACGAAAATCTACCAGAATGGACTGACGCCCGCTGCGCAATACTCTCGTCCCTCTTGGAACCTTTCCTCGAAGAAGACCAGCCTGTAACTGCAATCTATGCAACTCTCAGCCCACCCATCAGTAGCACCAACACGTTGACTGAAAACCCAGTGACCGAGCTCTGTTTCCTGCTAGTCGCCAGTGAGATGTCGCCATACGAAACCCGACAGCTGGACGCTGACTTGGTCAATTTCCGTACGGCGTTGCTGGAGCAGCTACCACAGGAAGCGGCGCCGCGATCCTGGTCGATGGGCCATGTCGAGCGGCCGAGAACGGTGAAGCATGATAAGAGTCCGAACGGCCTGGCGACAGTGCATTTGCTTGCCGTGGGATGGGAGACCGTGGAGACCCATAATAATGCCAAAAAGACAAAGGTCTTTGTCGATGGCATCACACCGATCCGAGAGAAGCTGCTCCTTCCCCCTGTACCTGAATTGGAGATGAAACATGTCAGATTCCAGAAAGTCTAGAGAATGGGGAGGTCTGAGAGAAACAACTAAGAGGCCAACATGAGAGGAATCTCATCGAGTGGGATGGGATGAGCTGCAAGTATGAAATTTGGAGGGTGACTCGGGAGGTAAAACAAAGGTAGAAATGGGCCCTGGGCTACTGCTAGGGGAAAAGGGCAATAGGGCAGAAATGACTAGGTGGATTGGTTATTAGGAGGCAGGGAATCGGAGGACACGCCTCAAATAAGATACAACAAGAGAAGTCAAAAACACCCATGTGAGATTGAAACAAAGAGAAACAGAATCATCATGAACCACCGTAGACTTTTTGAGCGCGACGCCGGACGGGCTCCCCATAGATAAAGGCCTGCTGACCTTAGACGCGGTGCTTCTCGCTTTCTATATAAAGGTCAGTATGGTGGAGAAGATGGTGGAGAGGTTTTCCACGGGATTGAGGGCACTAACCAAGCCGCGAGTAAAGCATGTACAAAGCCATTTGGTTGCATTCCTGAGTACCAGTAATGGTCACCAGACGCTCGTTGCTGTTCTCCTGAGGCTCGTTGATCTTGATCACACTGCCGCTCAGGTGGCGTATTTCGTTGATCTTGGCACCGCCCTTACCGATGATGGCACCCACCATATCGTTGGGGATATAGATCTGCTGGGTCAGTGGCTGGCCGGGCATAGCACCGCCAACGGGGGCTGGGGCAGTGGGAGCACCGCCACGGCCGGCAGCAGGTTGTGGGCCACCCACGTAGGGGTTCGGCTGGTGGGGGGTAGCACCAGCGTAGGGAGTGTGCGGGGCCGCACCATATGGCATGGCGGGCTGGGCAACGGGGGCAGGCGCCTGACCCTGCAGGTAGGGAACACCGTAGGCACCAGGCTGGCCACGATTGGGGTGGGGGTGGTTGCGCTTGAAGGTGTCTGGGTGGCCGTACTGACCACCAGCGGGCTGAGGCACGTATGGCACCACCTGCATACCGCCAGGCACGGCGCCAGCAGGCCCACCGCTGCGGGTGGCATAGGCCGAGGCTGCAGGGCCGCCGAATCGCTCCGTCAGTTGCTCCACCAGAGTCACGGCGACATAGTATGTCGCAATGTGCACGGCATCGGCGACACCAAGAATAACCAGGGAGCGCTCGGTCGAGAGAGGAAGGCAGGTATCGGAAGCATTCAGGCGTGCACCAGAGGCCTCCTGGATCTCGCGAATACGACTACCGCCCTTGCCGATGATGGATCCAATGAGAATGTGGGGGATTAGCAAACGCAGAGGGTACGTCTTGGACTGGGCAGTGGAAGGGGCATCGATGGGTTCATTGTTCAGGGTACGAATGATAAGACCGAAGGCCTATAAGGGTTAGCATCTTGGAACTTCTTGGCGTGCAACTGAAATCAAAGAAGTCACCTACCTTGGCCACCGCGTCCTGGGCACCGCTCACGGTCAAGATCCGCTCGACGGCACCCCGGGAGTAGTCGCTGACAGTGCACTTGGCACCGGACATGCGACGAATCTGGGACACGTTCTCACCTCCCTTTCCAATGACAGTGGCAGCCTCGGGGCTGGAGATTACGGCACGGATGTGGATCCAGCTCGACTCGTCCTGTGGGGGGTGCGTATCGGACTGGGAACCAGCCCGCTCACCGTGCGAAGCAGTCGACTGGATCGGCTGAGTCTCTGGGTGACTCTTTCCATTGGGGGCGTCGGGAACAACGGTGTCGCCCTGGGTATCCTTAGAATCCTCGACGGACGGGATCTGGTTGGCCGACACGTCGGTCTCGGCCTCGGCCTCGGCGTCACTGCGTGCTACTTTGTCAAGTGCGGGGCGCTTAGCCTCCGGCTGGTCGTTGGGGCCCGAGGGGGAGGAAGGGTCCTCGAGAGGACGCTTAGTCGATTGCAGATTGGATGGAGAGGCGGACATTGTAATCACTGTGCTGATCTGTCTTCACTTACGTGAAAGGAGTCGGATGTCAAGAATGAAAACTGCTTTCTTCGTTTCTTAAGATCGTTTATGTACACCAGAAGTTCCCACAGAAGGTGCTGGTGCTTGGCGATAGACGGGGAGGGGAATCTGGTGCTGTGGAGAGGCTGGAGGTGGAGAGAGAGACGGTGTTGGTGCCGACGGAAGAAAGAGCAGAGCAATAGTGATGATGGAGCCCGTCGGTTGAAAAATCAAGGAAAGCTTCACGGGATATGCTGCCGGGAATTGCTCGAGGGTAGGAAGCGAACAAAATGGAAGGGAGATGGAAGGTGTCGGTGTTGGAGATGCCACGGGTAGGGAGAGGGTCCAAGGTAGGAAACCAAGGAAATGCGCGACCTAAAAACAAGTACCTCCTGACGTGTGACCGCAAGAGGAAACCTGGAGGGAGAATAGGAAAGGGTACGCTAGGATGGAAGGGGACGAGGAACTGAGAGAAGGCGCGCGAGGACGAAGGTGAGAAGGTGAGGTCAAGAAGGAGCCACGAGCAAACGACGACGAGCGGGTGAGGTGAAGTCGGGAGGCTCCCCGCTAAGCCCAAATGGACAGTCACGTGATATCAACGCGTCGCGAATGTTTTGGCACATTAACGTATCCTCGATTCGCACAGCCTTCACTCTTGGGATATACGCAGCGTACAACTCAGAGCAGCATGGAGATTTCAGAAGAAACTGTCGAGAAGATTCAAAAATTCGTCCAGAACCGACAGGCAGCGGAGAGAGAAGCCTCCCAAGATCCGCTTAGCGCAACGGCCCTGCACGCCTATGCGCGACGCCTCGATGGGACCTTACAGCAGCTCCAAGAGCAAGTTCGACGACAAGAAGATGAATTAAAAAGGGTCCGTGAAGCTTTGTATCTCTGAAATAAGTGCACATAGCTGACATTCAGAGAAAATGCAGCTTCGAGAAAGTCGTGGTTCCAGTGATCTTTTGGTCAATACTGACGACCCTTGGGTGCGCGTTTCCCAGGCACGACGTGCAAAAAAGGCGTATGACTCCCTGGTCCTGGCAGAGGATGACTTGCCAACCACGGACTCCATCTTGCCTTCGCTGATTGCTACCGAAGACACCTCCCAGCTCATCAAGGAGGGCAAATTGTCCATTTTGTTTACCACAGACAGACTGTCTGCAGATCGCGAGCGCTTCCGTATCGAAGAGGCCAACCTTCGGGATTCGCGCGCGATCTCGACTGGGCTCCGTGAGCGAATTCAGCGGATACGCAATGCTAGTTCACGCAAGCAGGAGCAGACACCTTCCCAAGTGGCCAAGGGGGTGGTTCGAGAACAGAAAAAGAAGAACAAAGACCTAGATCATGCATCCGAGCAACTCAAAAAGTCGCTTGATAAATTCATCGATGAGTCTCTGGCACCAATGCTCGCAGCCGAAGACCTCGGCGGTCCCACTGTTGGTGACGCTCTGGAAGTGTCGGACGCGACCTTGAAAGCGGGCTATACAGCACATGGGAAACCAAAGAAGCCGAAAGAGCCCATTGAACCAGAAGTTGGAAATCAACAGCGAATTGACCAGTTCCTTCGTCGCAGCACTGATGCCTCTAACCCTACAAACAAACGAGAAGCTGCGGCGACGGAGGCGCATGAACTACTCGATGCCTTGCTTGAAGCCGGTACTTCGTATATCGATTTGAAAAGGGACTCAGCAGCTTCTCGGTTCCTTGTGCGAGCCAAGGTGGCTCAATTCCACCCACGAGATGCACGGCGCTTACGACTGATTGATTTTGGCCGATCACTCGGTGATTAAGGATGACGAGCTATGGAGTTTACCAGACGGATGTTGGTCATTATGTTTACCTATATTCTATCCTAAACCGGTCATAATTCTTCACAAGACACATGATGAATCCATCCCTCAACCCATAGGTAGTTGCAACGGCGAAACCTCCCGCGGAAAATGAAAAACGCCTATAGATGCTCCATGCGTAGACAGCGCCGAGTCATGAAAGATTGTGAAAAGG